ATTATCTTTTGAAAACCTGAGCCATTAAAAACGACTGAAACAATGCCCCGAAATGAGCCACCTCCTTGCGCGCACCCGACCAGCCTATCTCTCTTCCTTTGTCATGTGACCTCGCGCGGTCGCCCGCAGGGCATGCCAGATGCGCAGCATCATAGCAGTTCAGTAAGCGTCTTCAGATAGCAGGGACGGTCGCTGACAGGCTGCTTCTCCCGTGCCCCATTAGCCAGGTAATATACAGATCAAGCAGAATCATTTTGTTGTGCATTAAAATGTCTCATTCAGCAGCACCAAACAAGCAATTTTGCCGACTGGTCACCTGATAAACTAGTTAGGCTAGATAAAGTTTTACACTGTAGCCCAAGTCAATGACAGATAACGTGAGGACGACCACATAGGCTACAAATAATTTCGGTAGAGTTTGCAATTGCAAATCTATGTGTTAAGACAAACGTTTTCTGTTGTATAGGTTTTGTTAGGCAACATAAATTAACATATTTTGGTCTCTTTATTGTCTTAATTGTATATTGATTTAGTAACTGCAGCACAATGCCAAGAAAGGAGGGTTAATCATATTGAAAAATCTTAAAAGCTGTTCACATTTTATTTTTAAGTGGTTTGTACAAAATCAGCAGGTATTAAAATAGTTATTATTTTGTAGGCTACCATAAGTCATATCCACGTGACAAGACTTCCAGTCATGTTGCCCTAATAGCCCAATATTTAAACTAATGTGGCATATTTGTTAAAGCTATTATTATTATTATTATTATCATTATTATTGTCATGATGGTTATTATTATTATATTGTAGCCAGTCACAGCAGGGAAGCTCTATACCATCAACATATAACAGGACAGGAGATGAGGAAGAGTTCAGGGAAGACACAGAGACAGAAAAAGACCAGGATGAGGGAGAGCAGATGGGTGAGGGAAAACAGGGAGATGAGCCAGATGAAAGAAGAAGAAAGATGAGCAAGCGTACTACTTGAAAGTAGTACGCTTTAGTCTGTTCTGTTGGTGGTGTGAATATTTTCCATTGAAAACTCACGTTTAGAGAATGTTACAAATAAAAATCAAATTTCATTCAACATGCGCGTGTATTTTTTCTATAATTAAGTGTTCCACATGCGCTAAAAAGTGCCCTCCCCCACCTCCTGAGCACCTGCCCCCCAAAATGTGTGTGCACGCCTCTGAAAGTCAGTACATGTCCAGGCCCATCTGAAGATTGCCAGAGAACATATGGATGATCCAACAGAGGTTTGGGAGAAGATCATGTGGTCACATGAAACCAAAATAGAATTTTTTTGGCACAAACTTAATTCACGAGTTTGGTGGAAGAAGTTTCTTCCCCAGAATGAGCTACTGTGAAACATGGGATGGAAACATCCCGCTTTGGGACTGCTTTTCTGCAAAGGGAATGAGACACCTGATCCGTGTTGAGGCAAAAATGAAGAGGGCCATGTATTGTGAGAATTTATCCCAAAACCTCCTTCCATCAGTGAGAGCGTTGAAGATGAAACATGGCTGGCTCTTCTAGCATGATCCAGACACACAACTCGGGCAACAAAGGAGTGTCTCCACAAAAACAGGAGTGGTCTAGCCAGTTTCCAGACCTTTACCCCATAGAAACCTGTGGTGGGTGTTAAAACCCCAAAACATCACTGCTCTAGAAGATATTTGCATGGAGGAATGGGCCAAAATACCAGCTACTGTTTGTGCAAACCTTGCAAAGAAATACAGGAAACATTTGATGTCTGCCATTGTTAACAAACGTTATTCAGCAAAGCATTGAGTTGAACTTTAGTTGTTAGCAACAGACTACACAACAATCTGCCTCATCACAGGTGGGGAGGACTCAGAGGACAGACTGTGGACCCTGGACTTCGTGGTCTGGTGCCAGCAGAACCACATTCTCATTAATGCAGGAAAACCAAGGAGCTAGTGGTAGACTTTCGCAGAAGCAGATTCATCCCACTTACACGGGTGAACATCCATGGAACGCACATTGAGATAGTGTAACCTTATAAGTACCTGGGTGTTACACCTGAGCAATAAACTGGACTCGACTCACAACACTGAGGCTCTCTATAAGAAGGGTCAGAGCAGACTCTTCCTGCTGAGCAGATTGATCAAGGAGCAAAGGAACAAAATGCTGCTTCTCAATGTTCTGTGGTCTTCTTGTTGCAGAAGCGTTTAATGTGATTCACAGCATCACCAGTTACTATAAAAGGGGTCATAGAATGCAGGGTTTCTATTGTCATAGATGAATAACGATAGTTCAGGGGGTGAAATGGACGTACAGAGAAGTTCAAACCCCATCAACTCCTCATTTCTCTGCAAATCTCACTATTCTAAACTTCCACCATAAAAAAGGCGAAATCAAACAAAGCCCCAAGTTGAAGTAAACTCGGGGATGTTGCCTTATTTGGTTCTGACCTGGACTTTTGTCACACCCTGAAATTGACATACAGACCAGCCCACTGGTTCACTGGCACAAGGGAGGGGGGGTATGACTGCTGCGCCGCTGACTGGACCGGACCTCAGCCAGAGGAGGAGTGGGGCTGGGGGCTGGCAAGGCAGGTGGGGGGAAGCATGGGGCCGCCGGCGTCCAGGCTACCGCCACCGGGTCAGGTTTGGTTGCTCCGTCCCCTGCTGGCTCCCTGCCCCCGTCCGCCGGGGTTCCCGGACCAGCCCCGGAGCTGACGGCTTGGTTCGAGTGCCCGGCGTGTTTCAAAAACGTGCTGCACTATAGTAATAGTTTAATGTCATACACTCACCAGATCTGAACGCCCATGAGTAGAGGTAATGCATCCTGATGATATTTACACCGCGTCAGATAGCGTTCCCCCCATGTTAAGCAGTGGGACCATCTGACGGGGTTTATAGGCCCATCAGATAGCGTTCCCCCCCGATGTCATTTACGTTGAGTTGCAATAAATGCTAAACTCTCTGCAGGTTCTTGTCTTTGTCGTCCGCTCTATTCAGCTTTGGAAACACACGGCGAGAAGGTGGGGGCTGGGTGGTGAGGGTTACGGGGGCGAGAAACGCAAAAGTAACGCAATAGTTACTTTTACTAGTAACTAGTTACTTTTATTATGGAGTAACTTAGTAACTCAGTTACTTTTTGGAAGAAGTAACTAGTAACTATAACTAATTACTTTTTCAAAGTAACGTGCCCAACACTGGACAGCAATATCCCATACCCATCTAGGTGTCTGATAGGTTGGTCGTTAAAGGGGATTGTTGGCCTGGCTGAATAGACGAGGGCCTCCGCGTCTTTAAACTTGGAAACAAAGTCTAGTGGATTGTTTTTAATTTTCTTTTTTTTTTTTTTTTAATGACTATGACCTGGATTACTGAGAACCTTCACCAACAGGGTCTCTATATTTAAAGTTGGATTATCTAGATTTGTACATCTGATGCCAAGTATCACGGTATTAAAAATGTTTTGGTGAGATTCTTCTTTTTATATTTGTTCAGCAGGTTCTCGTCTGGAATGCCTACTTCAATGGAGCATTATTTTCTTCAAAGACAGCATCTACAGAGGTGGAAAGAGTACTGAAAAATTGTAATTTAGTAAAAGTATCTTTACTTTGCCTAAATTCTACTCAGAGTAAAAGTAAAATTACCCATCTCAAAATTTACTCAAGTAAAAGTACAAAATTACTTCATTTAAAATGTATCTTAGTTACTTTGAGTTATTTAATGCAAAAAAAGGATGAGTCATGAATCGAATTGAGCACAAGGTGTTTTAATCGAGTTCAAGGCGTATTTCAGTGGACATCACACTGCAAAAGATCAGCTGGGCTAAAGAACATACTTCCTCACAGCACAAGGACAGACACAACCTGAACCATAAAGTGCAAACTATTTTCAATCCTACTTTCCAACAGACAACACCATGATAACTAACTTACCGCCTCATTTTTACGTACATTGGATGTTGATGTTTTAAAAGCCGAAAGCTCCGTTTTGCTAGCCTGACGTAGTCCTACTCAATTCTAGTCAGAATGAGTCTGATGCTGCTCCATAGAGCTGTGATTATGGGGCGTGTTTCGAACGAACCAGGGAAAAAAATGCCTCTGCACTCAATTGGATAGACCTACAACCAATAAGAGCAACGGAGTGCGTGACGTATGTTAAGCCACGCATAGTTGTTGTCAACAAAAATCAAAGCGTGCAGTTGCACGCCTAGAATAAGAAGATGAGCCTTGATCGCGTTTCTCTGTTCCTCTTTTAAAATTAATTTGCTGTCGATATCTTCTAGAACAGACCTAATAGCAGAATCTACTCACCTCAACTCTCCAGCGGCAGCCATTATTGTTGTCACCCAAGCGCGCTTTGGTCACGTGGTTGATAACGTTACTGTTGATCATCTGTCCATCATCGTATAAAGCCCGCCCTGACAATTTGATTGGCCCGCCAGATATTGTGCGAGCATACTCGCGCTACTATTGAGCAATGACAGACCGAACTTCCCGACCTCAAACGTTGTGGGCGGGACTAAGTTCGGAATGGCACCCAGGCTACCGTTTTGCTGGGCAGGCACATGTTGCACTGCATTATCACATTGTTCCCTTTTGTGCATTTGAAAACAAATTATCCTTCCAAATATGGCCGAGGGTTTTTCTGGCTTTCGTCTCCAGAATATGTTTCCTCTACAGGCCTTTCCTCATCCATCCTCCCTAAGTTGTGATTAGCAACTACCATCTTCCTATGAGACGATACAAAGGGTAATTACAAGGCAAGCCCACATTAAATTTTTTCACCATCAGTATTTTTTATTTATTTATTTTTTTACTCAGTAACGTGAGGAGGTTTTAAATGTAGCAAAGTAAAACTACTTAGGTTAAAATTTACTCGAGTAAAAGTAAAAATTACATATTTCAAAAACTACTCAGAAAATTACAAATTACTCATAAAAAGTACTCAATTACAGTAACTTGAGAAAATGTAATTCATTACTTTCCACCCCTGAACATCTGACAGTTTGAGTGTGAAACCGCTTCAAGAAGACCTCGTAGTAAATGTTGTTGATCTCGGCTGAAAAGATGAGGTTTTGGTATTTCTTACAGACAGGACAAAATAGACGAGGAAGAAGAAACCTGCAAAAGACAGAAAATAAATGTATTTAATGCCTTCGACAATAAGTAGGGAGGAAGAATAATAGGAAACAAATGTCTTAGCTTCGAAACCTCAGCGTTATTTTAGATTTAATTCATCATTCATCTTGAAAAAGATCTGCAACCAGACTACTGACAGGGATTCAGTTATGCTGCAACTTTACATTTATAACATGGTTATAATTATGTAATTGTTAATGTCCAATGTTATTTACCACAAACAGAAATTATTACAGTATAATATCTTAGAAGTATTTCCAAAAAACATTTAGAAAAATGATTTAATGTTTTAAAATAATTTGTCTAAAGGGAAAATTATATACATATACACTAACCGGCCACTTTATTAGGTACACCTGTCCAGCTGCTCTTTAACACTTAATTTCTAAGCAGCCAATCACATGGCGGCAACTCAGTGCATTTAGGCATGTAGACATGGTCAAGACAATCTCCTGCAGTTCAAACCGAGCATCAGTATGGGGAAGAAAGGTGATTTGAGTGACTTTGAACGTGGCATGATTGTTGGTGCCAGAAGGGCTGGTCTGAGTATTTCAGAAACTGCTGATCTACTGGGATTTTCACGCACAACCATCTCTAGGGTTTACAGAGAATGGTCCGAAAAAGAAAAAAACATCCAGTGAGCGGCAGTTCTGTGGGCGGAAATGCCTTGTTGATGCCAGAGGTCAGAGGAGAATGGCCAGACTGGTTGGAGCTGATAGAAGGGCAACAGTGACTCAAATAACCACCCGTTACAACCAAGGTGGGCAGAAGAGCATCTCTGAACGCACAGTACGTGGAACTTTGAGGCAGATGGGCTACAGCAGCAGAAGACCACACCGGGTGCCACTCCTTTCAGCTAAGAACAGGAAACTGAGGCTACAATTTGCACAAGCTCATGGAAATTGGACAATAGAAGATTGGAAAAACGTTGCCTGGTCTGATGAGTCTCGATTTCTGCTGCGACATTCGGATGGTAGGGTCAGAATTTGGCGTCTACAACATGAAAGCATGGATCCATCCTGCCTTGTATCAACGGTTCAGGCTGGTGGTGGTGGTGTCATGGTGTGGTAATATTTTCTTGGCACTCTTTGGGCCCCTTGGTACCAATTGAGCATCGTTGCAAAGCCACAGCCTGCCTGAGTATTGTTGCTGATCATGTCCATCCCTTTATGACCACAATGTACCCAACTTCTGATGGCTACTTTCAGCAGGATAATGTGCCATGTCATAAAGCTGGAATCATCTCAGACTGGTTTCTTGAACATGACAATGAGTTCACTGTACTCAAATGGCCTCCACAGTCACCAGATCTCAATCCAATAGAGCATCTTTGGGATGTGGTGGAACGGGAGATTCGCATCATGGATGTGCAGCCGACAAATCTGCGGCAACTGTGTGATGCCATCATGTCAATATGGACCAAACTCCCTGAGGAATGCTTCCAGCACCTTGTTGAATCTATGCCACCAAGAATTGAGGCAGTTCTGAAGGCAAAAGGGGGTCCAACCCGTTACTAGCATGGGGTATCTAATAAAGTGGCCGGTGAGTGTATATATATATATATATATTTATATTATGTCAAGACATTATAACGGCATGTTTAAGCATTGTAAAACCACAATGCATAGCAGATGACTATATAGAAAAGTTTTCAGACCTTGCAAAGGGTTGAGAATGCAGAAGGCGTAAAGGCCAGGTGTGGTCAGCTGGCCAAATGAGAAGAAGATGAAGCCCCAGGTGAGTCCCAGCAACACCATGAGGGCCACCAGGGTGAAAATCTCTCCCTTAGCTTTGTTTTTCTTACGCCCAATCTGGTTCACCAAACAGGAAATCAAAACACAGGCAGGTTATTGTATATCCTAAAAATGGAGACCCTTATGTAAATACTACAAGGCTTTATTAATAAAAGTAGCCAAAGGTAATTTACAAACACTACCTTTGACAAAACTGTGCCGAGACCGGTCCGAGCCCAGTAACTGAGGTAACTTATCGTGTGTAAATGAAAAGAAAACTGAACTGAACCGAGCTAGACACAACCGGACAGCGCTAACTGCAGACCAGTTCCAGAGGTGGGCTTGGCTCGGTTTTTCCCTGACTTGGTTCTCTGATAACAAGAGCGCATGAGCAGAACGCGTCATCTCCGTCTGGCTGCACATCGTGATTCATACTCCATTCCAGTAGTTAGCGCTAATGCCCCTCCGGAAGTTGCTTTCCAACCAACACAAAACAGAAGAAGAAGAACTATAAACAACAATCGAAATCTTCTCCACGCAACATTTTAAAAAATGGCATTTTAAATAATACCACCAAGGTACAGTAATAATAATCAAGCATAACTTTCTCAATGTGACGGGCGCTGCCATTTTGATTTGCTTGATTCCCTCCTTCTTTGTCTTCTTCTTCTTTTTTATGGCAGTTGGCAAACAACTTTTGGTGCATTACTGCCACCAACTGCTTGATTTCCTCCTTCAATACTGGCAGTAATACTGCAGATCGTCACTAGGAGGCGAGGAGTCGAGGAACCGAGATAGCGTGATGTGTAAATGGTCGTCAGAACCGAGCTCGGCCTGGTTAACTGATCCGATCTCGGACCGGTCTCAGCATGGATCGGTTTTTTAAGGGTAGTGTAAGTGAGGTAATAGTCCCTCCAGAGTGTCCTGGGTCTCCCCCTGGGCCTCCTCCCGGTGGGACCTGCCTGGAACACCTCACCAGGGAGACGTCCAGGAGGCATCCTAATCAGATGCCAGAGCCACCTCAACTGTCTCCTCTCGATGTGGAGGAGCAGCGGCTCTACTCTGAGTCCTCCCCGGATGGTTGAGCTCCTCACCCTATCTCTAAGGGAGAGCCCAGCCACCCTACGGAGGAAACTCATTTCAGCCGCTTGTATCCGGGATCTTATTCTTTCAGTCATGACCCAAAGCTCATGACCATAGATGAGAGAAAAAAGCAAAGCTCTCGATTTACCAGTTGGGCTATGTTCCTCTTCTATTCTATGGTCATGAGCTTTGGGTCATGACCAAAAGAACGTGTCTAACATTGGAAAACAACTTTAAGTTCCTTTGAACCTGGGCCATTCAACTCACGGCTCACCAGCCACTTCGTTGCACGCAAAGTCATTTGCAGCCTGAGTGGCCTTGTCTTCTTTATAAAAGAAAATAAATCATAAGAAGCACCCCAAGTATTGACCGCGTTTGTCTATTCTTTATTGTATGTTATTAATCTACTATCACCTACTAGCCAGCTTTAAATTTGGTCCCATCAGCTGTTTTTTAGGCCTTGGAATGAACAGTAGCCCATCGCTACTGTATCTATCATCGCAGCCCCAGGCCCTGTACAAGATAGAGGAGGACCTCACCTATTCAGCCAGGAACACAATTCCCTTTAACGACACCCCCCCCCCCCCCTTTTAGCCACTTAGACGGGTATGGGACATTGCAGGCTAACAAAAGAAGCTAAATGACCCCCCTTTCAAAGGGGTGGACCCGTTCATCCGTCTCTATTTGCATGTTTTCTAAACAAAAAACAGGCTTTGTTGGGCTGTTGTATAAAACCTGGAACTCAATGCTATTTCTGAACATTTTGAATTGAAAAAGCTTCCTGGATGGGAAGCAAAACGTCTTCAAACTTTGAAAAAAAGTCCAGTGGATTTTTTTAATGTTCTTTTGAAGAATACTTTTATTTCTTTCAGTTTTTCTTTTACAAAATTATAAACTGCTGAAGATATTTGTTCCGCAGCCTTGAGACAAAGCTTTTCTTACTCTCTTATTTATTTTTACATTTATTTCACAAATATAGCCCTTCAACATACCTGTTTGATCATGTTGTCACACACAAGCCATTTAGCTATCCCCCCAAACACAATCAGGTTAAACAGGAACACAACCCTGAAGAGGCCCAGTGTCGTCCCCATCTTCACTTTGTCATTGGTTATGTAGCATCTATGCAGAAAGGAAGCAAAGGAAGCTAGTTATTATCATATGACAAGGAAATAAGAATCTATAATAATAATCATATGTTCACAGTAAATGCATTTTAAGAGACAAAAATGCATCCAATGCATCAACTTGGACATTTGTGCATTTTAACGCCTAATGTTCTGAACGCTGGATGAAATGAACAAGGCGGTCTGATTGGTTGACACTTAGCATCCAGCTGCAAAAGTTCAGATTTTCCAACTAGCGTTCCAGCTTGTCTGCTAAAAACACACTGCTCTCAATGCTGATCCAGAACCGCTGCAAGACTCACCGTTCCTGACGGTCCAATTGTGCAGCTCAACCTTTTGACACTCCTTCATCCTGTCTCCCAGACTTTGCACGTAAACTAAATGTTCTGATGCTCAAAGCGTGTTTAACTTGAACGGATCATTGGAGAACAGAAATAAATCTAAAAAAATACTAAGCCATAGTTAACAGTGGAATCAGTCTATTAGGAATAGGAACTAGCCTGGATTGTGCATCATTTTAGAGTTTTACTTACACTGCGAGTTCATTGGGTCCAGAAGAGATCAGAGGGGTATAACCATACAGGTTTTTGTCAACGATCACCACCACCGACACAATGAGAGCCGGAAGACCTGGAATACAACAACGTTCTTGACTTAAGGCTGCAGACATTTGGCTCCATGCTCAGGTGATTCCACTCACCCCACCCCACCACACTGAGCTTCAACAGGTATCTCTTCACATAGATGTTGAAGACTTTAAACAGGAGGAGATAGAGGTGGAAGCCCTCCAAGGCCATCCAGGTGAACGAGGCCAACAGAGAGTAGTGAAGAACAACAGCTACATAAAGACAGAGACCAGGGGATGATGTTGCTGCCACCGCCTGGTTAGGGAGGAAGTGAACGTTTAGGAGGATCAGAGCGACTGCCAGGCTGATGTGGATCTTCTTGGAATCATCCCCTCGGACCTCTCTGTCAGACACAGAAGATGTGGACTGAGGTAAATAAGATGTTTACCAAGATTTAATGCTTACAAAAAGTCTAGATTTCACCAAAAGGGGTTGGACTGGCTAACTAATCTAGAGCGAGGTGTTTGAAGGATGCAGAACAAAAGCAGTAACATAAGTGGTAGAAAAAAGGTGAGCACTGTTTAAAGTCAAACTTGGCAAAGAGAAGAATACATTACCTGTTTGTGATAAAGAGCAAAACAGCAATGGCCAGGGCAGTAAGAGAAATACTACAGCCAATGATGGTTATGTAGGACATAATCTCCTGGTCTTTAGGCGAGAGGTCTGCAGACCCCTGTGGATAAAGTAGGGTATTATATAACAATGTGTGATGATCTCTGCACTGGTGCTGGCCTAATCCACAACTCAGCACACCTTCTCGACTCCACCCTGCCTGCTATTAACAATAAGTGGTTCCACCTGTCTCCACCTCCATATATTCCCCGTTTGGATCAGTTCCCAGTGCCAGATCGTCTCAGACTAGCAACTGAATACTTTCCAGCATTCCAGCTTTTTGCCTCCCAATCTGTTGCCTGACCTCTGGACTCCTGCATCAGTTCTGCCGAGGATTGCCTGCCTGTGAGCCTGACCCCCACCTGGTCTGGGAGTTACAGAGTCTGCCTAACCCCTTTACTTCTCTGAAGCTGCCATTAATCGGACTCTGGATCAGACCTGGACCTTCCTTCCGGATTGCCCCCTTGTACCGTTGCTTGTACCCTATCTCTGGATGCTGTACTCAGACTGTCTCTGGAGCTCATCAGTCTAAGTCCTCTGAAAACAATCCGCCGCTCAGCGGCTCCTGCTCCCACAAGCTCCGTCTCTTAACATACCTCTATCCTGGACTCGTCACAGAGCCAGCCACCTACTCTGAGACCCACTAACAGGTTAGTGATCCAGTCTCACTCCCTTGCTAATTGTTGCTCTAGCTCACAGGTGTCAAACTGGTTCCAAAAAGTGCCATGTGGCTGCAGGTTTTCTTTCCAACCAAGCAATAGCACACCAGACTCCATTCATATCATCAAGTCATCATGTTCAGATTGGACTCCCTTCATAAGATGAATGGAGTCTGGTGTGCTATTGCTTGGTTGGAAAGAAAACCTGCAGCCACACGGCCCTTTCTGGAACCAGTTTGACACCCCTGCTCTAGCTGATCACCAACCTATTGTCTCTGCCACAGGGGATTTCCAGTCCGAGAACTGTCTGTGCGCTCCCAGTGCCACACTTAGCCCATTCTCTTTAATAAAGTCCGTTGCATTCCACTGTCTTGTCTGTGTAGTATCTTGGGTCCCTTTCCTTTATTACACAATGCAGTGATTGTGGCATTATTAAAAGGATGAGACACTAGACCCAATAATCCAAGCTGTTTCCTTTACACTTCAAAAATGTATTTAAATGAAGGTCTAACCTGTGTATGACTACACAGAAATCAACATTTTAAACAGCTGGAAAATTATTTCTGATATCTTTTTTTATTTATATCTTGTAGTATCCTTTTTTTTGGTGACATAATGTTGGGGTTTTCGTGTTTGAAATAGTTCATTCCATGAGTAATAATTAAGCTTAACCACTGAGATAAGTGACGAAAAGTGTTAGACTTGACATTCAAACAATTTTAAAGTCGTAGGGAAGCAGCCATTCCAACCGTTGCATTTCCAAATTCAACTTAGTGGTGCCTAACTTTACACGAGTGAATAAAGTGAATGTGATTGGTCGTTTATCAAGAGAGCAGGATAGTTGTGGTGGAAGGTTTGCAAGCGAGTTTGGTTGTGGCCGGTTTGCTAACCAGTTAGCAACTTAGTGCTAGCAGGTTCCAATGGGAAATTCCATTGGGACCAAGTAGCACTAAATTGGTGCTACTTGGTCCCAATGGAATTTCCCATTTCCCAGACAATATGGTCTGATAAAGAGTACATTTATATCCATGTTTAAGCCAGAATGATTTAAAATGTAAATATAACTTTAAATGTACCAATAACAAACAATAAACAAAGGTGTGGGGAGTACCCTGCATTTCTTATTCAAGTAAGACTTGCACAAATTTAAATGTATTTAACTCAAGTCAAAGGTGGAGGTAGCCATCCAATAATTTACTTAACAGTAAAACAAGTAACTTCAAAATGGCTACTTGGTACTAAGTAATAAAAGCTAATTTATTGTTTGAGATTGTTCAGTCAGACACAGCTATGTGCAAATATTGGTATTGCAATTTATTAAATAAATTGAAAAAACATAAATAGCATTGTGCTGTGTCTCCCAGCACAATCTCAAGAACATGTAGGAGATTCCAGGAGACAGGCAGTTACTCCAGGATAGCTGGAGCACTATCTGCTCCTTTGTGCTAAGAGGAGCATGAGGAGCACTGCCAGAGCCCTACAAAATGACCTCCAGCAGGCCGCTGGTGTGAATGTCTCTGACCAAACAATCAGAAACAGACTTCACGAGGGTGGCCTGAGGGCCCCACGTCTTCTAGTGGGCCCTGTGCTCACTGCCCGGGACCGTAGAGCTTGATTGGCATTTGCCACAGAACACGGGCACCCTGTGCTTTTTACAGATGAGAGCAGGTTCCCCCTGAGCACATGTGACAGACGTAAAAGAGTCTGGAGAAGCCGTGGAGAACGTTATGCTGCCTGTAACATTATTCAGCACGACCGGTTTGGTGGTGGTCAGTGATGGTCTGGGGAGGCATATCCATGAAGGGACGCACAGACCTATACAGGCAAGACAACGGCACCCTGACTGCCATTAGGTATCGGGATGAAATCCTTGCACCCATTGTCAGACCCTATGCTGGTGCAGTGGGTCCTGGGTTCATCCTGGTGCACGACAATGCCCGGCCTCATGTGGCGAGAGAATGCAGGCAGTTCCTGGAGGATGAAGGAATTGATACCATTGATTGGCCCCCACGCTGGCCTGACCTAAATTCAATAGAACACTACTGGGACATTATGTTTCCATCCATCCGACGCCACCAGGTTGCACCTCAGACTGTCCAGGAGTTCAGTGATGACCTGATCCAGATCTGGGAGGAGTTATCCCAGGACACCATCCGTCGTCTCATTAGGAGCATGCCCCGGCCTTGTCAGGTATGCATACACGCACGTGGGGGCCATACAAATGAATAACATTTTGAGTTGCTGCAATGAAATTTTACCAAATGGACTAGCCTGCCGCATCATTTTTTCACTGTAATTTTTGGGGTGTCTTTGAATTCAGCCCTCTGTAGGTTGATGATTTTCATTTCCATCAAATGATGTGGCATCCTTTGGTTCCTAACACATCACCCAGTCCATATCAGTATAAAGAAACAGCAGGATTTCCCCCCCTTTGTGATCTGATGTGTTTTCAAAGTGTTCCTATAATTGAGCTGTGTATACATACACACACAACTTCAGACTTCAATGTTTTAACATTATTCTGTTGTAATCAATAGCTGGTCCTACCATCAGCACACCAAAGTATGTGAGATGATTACAGGAACAGGTGACGTCATCATCATCCCAATATGTCTTACAGCCACTGGTACTGAAATCTGGTGGGACAGAGACAGAGAAGCTTGTTTTTGTTTTTAGGTCTCTTTCATGTTACTAAGGCACTACAGAGGAGTTACTTTGGATACTTACGGTTTGTTCTGGTGTTTAGGAAAACACATTGGGGCTTGAGAGTTTCCTATGGACACAGCAACAATCCAGCTTTTACAATCTAATCAGTGAATAATGTCTGTCTGTGATAACATAAAACCTCAGAATTTACTGTTTTAAGGAGATTAAAAACTACAGTTATATTTACATTGATCTTTGTGGCAATATTTATGGTGATTTTGACCCGATCCTGGTCAGGAAGTCCTGAAGTTCTCTTGTTACGCACACTCAGGGAAATGATCCTGCGACGAATCAGTTTGTCTGAGTTTTCCAAAGCAATCTACAGAACAAAAGCAAATTCAGCTGATTTTCAAGTCTGTTTTAATAAGTGAATTAGCAAACATGTATGAAAAAAGGAAAGCTCCAATCAAACAACTAAATATCACAATACAACATTATTAGTTGGTGAAATGGTTTAGTTTCCCTCTCAATTATCGATAAATAATAATCTTTTATCAGCTTTTTGACATATATATTTTTATTATAAATCTACTCATTCATATCAGTTTCACGCGTCTGATTGATGATCCTATTAAACATCCAGAAATGATTATAGTTGTTTATAGTGTATATTTAAAAAAAAAGATTTCAACATTTACACTCAACAAAAATATAAACGCAATACTTTTGGATTCATTCCCCTTTTTTTATGAGATGAACTCAAAGATCTAAATCTTTCCATATAAAGAATATCAGCATTTCCCCCAAATATTGCTCACAAACCAGTATAAACCTGTGATAGTGAACACTTCTCCTTTGCTGATATAATCCATCCCACCTCACAGGTGTGCCATATAAAGATGCTAATTAGACACCATGATTAGTGCACAGTTGTGCCTTAGACTGCCCACAATAAAAGGCCGCTCTAAAAGATGCAGTTTTATCACACAGCACAATGCCAGAGATGTTGCAAGATTTGAGGGAGCGAGCAACTGGCACGCTGACAGCAGGAGTGTTGCTCATGTGGTGAATGTCCATTTGTTCTGCAATAAGGAACAACCGGCCTCATCACCGCAGACCTGAAACCATCTCAGGGAAGCTCATCTGCATGCTCGCTACCCTCATCGCGGTTTCCACCCGACTTCAGTTTTTCGTCGTAACCGACTTGAGTGGGTAAAACGCTCGCATTCATTGGCTTCTGGCACGTTTAGAGGTGTTTTTTTCCAAGGATAATCCCGGTTTACTCTGTTCAGGCAGACGGCAGACAGGGTCGTGTGGGCTAGAGGCAAAGTAGATATATTGCACTGATTGAGGCAAATGGTGGCAACACCAGATACTGACTGGTTTTGTGTCAGGTCTAAGCACCTAAAACATCATACATACATACATACAGGGAAAGAAAGAAGGCACAGAGACAATTAATTTAGTTTTACTCGCGAGGAGAGTAGGAAGAGACCTATGGAGTTCACAAATCTCCAACCCACTCTGCCGGTCTTCAGCTTTCTCCTCCCCATTTATTAAAGTCAGAGGGGGGGGTCCCTAGTTACACAAGCTGAGGTTGCGCTAAAGGAATAGGAAACAAGAAATACAATTCGATTAGCAGCCTCAGTGAACAGGTCAGTTTGCATTTAAATGTCTTGCGTCCAATGGTCCGAGAACCTCCTGGTTTCGTTAAGCTTGAGCAATACTTCCTGAGAGTTGACCTATACTGCTTGTGCAACACCTCTCTGGAATAGTAATATGTCACACATTATACATCATAAGAACAAACATTAAGTATCTTACACATAATTATTCCAACATTTTCCGAGTCCCCCATCCCCCTACCCCACCTCATAAACTGCACCTTTCATTGTGGCCTTTGCTGAGGTGGATTGTCTCAGCAAAGTAGAAGTGCTCACTATCACAGATTTAGACTGGTTTGTGAACAATATTTGAGGGAAATGCTGATATTGTGTATGTGGAAAAAGTTTAGGATCTTTCACTTCGTCTCATAAAAACTGGGAGCAAAACCAAAAGAGTTGCATTTATATTTTTGTTGAGTGTAGCTTGAGTCTTAAAAAAACTTTTCTAAATTCTATAGCATAACACTCTTTCAAAACTAAAGAAGACATCATAACCAAGGTACCGCTGTCCAAAGGTTCATTGAGAACTTTCTAGGTTGATAGAAATAGATAGTTACTGACCTTGCTCGGTAGCTGAATCATGAAGAAACTAATTATGTCATCCCTCCCAAGATTCAGCTTACTTGGCAGGTGAACTTTCATTATGCTTTTGTTCACACCTGGACCTAAACTTATCTAGAAGGGTGTCAGAAAGAGATAAGGATAAATAAAAGCATGTGTCAAAGGAGTACATTTAGCAACTACTATGGCCTGAGTGCAATTATATCTTAAATTAAAACCCTGAGATTAAAAGAAAATTGTATCTGCAGACAAGCACAGACTTGTACAGTGTGAAAAAAAACATATATTTCCCTCTTAATAATATTTTTTTAAATCATCAAAGATAATGTGAGAAAAAACAAAAATACCTTTTTTTAAAGATCATTTCATGTCAGTAAAAAGATATGCTGACTGATATTGCCCCAGAAAACGAAGGATGTGCGTCATTTAGGTGTAACTCACACCAAAATAAACATGTTTTTATATTTCAATATGAGCTTATTTGGTTCTACAGTATTTGTTCTAAAACTAACCATTTGCAGCCCTGAGTGATTGAATGGTTGTTTTTCCAGTTGAATTATTATATTGGTTCAAACAGGACATGCTGGTACAGCTGCCAGTAAACACTGTCATCATCATAGCCCAATGTTTAGGTCTGAAACGACTCAAACACACGCCCCACAGATAACTTTATCTGTGTCTGAATTTAGGGGCTGCATCTATTAGGACTCCTGTCTGTGTGGTTTGTGTTTTGTGTGTTTGTCTTCCTTCCTCCACCAGGCAGCGCCTAGTCCTGATTCACCTCCTCACACACCTACAAAGGGTTACCTCCTTAACACAGTGCTCTTAAGCTGCTGACTGCCAATACCTCGGCGCCAGAGTGTTTGCCAGTTTTGGGTACCAAGCTGAGTTTTGCTGAGTCAAACTGAGTTTTTGTCAACCTGAGTTTTAATCTTGCTACTTTTGTCTTTGCCTCTCGGCAGGAAGTCATCCTGCAAACTGGACGTTTCGGACCTTCTGTCCCTGGAAGGATCAACTGAGCCTCAAACTGAGCTGAGGATTCAAACTGGAGGTTTGGATCCACTTTTCTCCAAGGGATCGTTTGAGTTTCTCACTGAGCAAGGGATTCATCTGCACCACAGTCCGTTCAAGTACCGCAGGAAATCTGAGTGGCAGTCAGTTTCTCCGTTCTCCTACAAACAACCACATTCTGGGTAAACCCTGTCCGCCCTCCACCGAATGAGCAAACCCTGGAACACCCCACACCAATTTTAGTCAAAGAGTCAACCACTTTTCTGGAAACGTGAGTCTGCAAACCTTTTCTCCTCTTCAAGTTCGAGAATCAATTTTCCCACTGAACCTGAACTAACCGCAGTGTCTTCCCCTCACCTTTGAGTTCCGGTTGAGCAGTGTTCAGAGCCACACTGGAATCTCCACAAGCTTCTCAATAAACCTGTTAAACTTTTTCCCTGGTCTCTCTGGAATGGTTTATCTACATTTGGGTCAGATCTTTAGTCAAATCTTGACAGCATCCTTTGAAGGCCATACTTGTGGACCAATTAAGTCACTACATAGTAATGAGACCTCTTCACAAATCAACCAACAAATGTTTTCTCCTCTCCCTAGTTTTGAGGTTTGGGTCTGATGTATCCTTCATGGTCGAGCATTTCCTGTTTGATTGTGGGTCAAAGTGGAATGGTTAAGCTCTAGACGTAATGGCTGATAATGGTGGCACAAATCATAATTGAAAGTGACATATGCTTTCAGTGTTTATTTCACTTCATTTTAAAAGAGGTTAAGTGTTTTTCAGAGCTTTCTGCACACACAGAGCAATGTTGCCTTGGCAACCGTTGGTCAATAATGGAGGTTTATCATCCCTGCACCTGATTCTCAGCACATCCGGTTGAACCTACCCGTTTTCAGTTTGTGTTTGTTTGTTTTGTTTGCCAAAGTATTACTGAGAATTGATATCAAGGTGCTGGATTTTGTTGGAAATCAAGTATCCATACTTTTCTGTCAATTCACGTGGCATCAACTAGTCAACAACGGGATGATGAGATGTAGGGTCAACTAGTAAAGTGGAGACAAATCTTTTTTTCATTTAGATTTGAGAAATCAATGTTGACAAGGAATGATCTTTAGAGGTCTGTGGGTGGCATTTGAAACAAATCTTTTATTTTATCCTCCTCTTGCAGCTTCAGAGCTGGTTTAGGGCACCCGTATTATCTGCCTGGTTCTGGTGCTCTCACTGCGCAACTTCTTGCACTATATTCCCATCGTCTGCTCTGAGCTCCAGAGCTGGCCCTGTCTTGTCGCAGCCTCTGCTGTCATGATCTGGCCTGTTTGCTCCTCCTTAATTAGTAATTCCTTTCACCCACTCGTTTTCCCTCCCTGCCTCAATTATAATTCATTCCTCTCACCTGTTTCTTCGGGGTTATATTCTATTCAGCCTGAGCATTTGGGGCCAGATCATTATTTCCTTCTCTGTTAGTCTGTAATATTGATTCCTTGGTTAATGTTTTAGATCCTGCCGGCCAGTGGAAAGAGGGTTTTGTGTTTGTCTCGTCTCCTGATCGTCCACTGTTCCTCCCCCACGGAGTCCTCTGGGTTTTTGGCTCTTTATGTGGGGAGGTTCAGTTTTTATCCCAGTAAGCCTGGCTCCAGGGAGTAGACCAGTTTAAAGTTCCTGCATCAAGTTCTGGTTCCACGTCCTGTCTCAGCTTCCCTCTTCCACTGAGCCTGCTCATCTGCACCTCATCCTGTCTACTCCTGTGCGTGACCGTCTGGCCATGCTTCTGAACTCTGTCAAACTCTGAACCTGTCTGGGAGCTTGTTTTTGCCTGGAAGCCTGGATCCTGTCACCTGTCTGTTCCTGTCTGCCCTGTATCCCTGCCCTGGATCGGCTTCCTGAAACTCCTCCGGAGCTGCAGCTCCGAGGACACTCTGGGTGACGCAAGCCGTGTCAGCTGTCAGCCCATCAGCTGGATTGCACCCCCTCAAGGGGTATGGACTGAACTGCTAAACCAGGTAAGTGACTCACGTAGATCATCATCTTCAGTCATATGATCGTGGTCACTTACCTGTCTTTCTCCCACAGAGTGTCTGAGATTGGGCGGTGCCCCGCCCGCCTCCTGCAGAATCCGCAAGCCACAGCTCCACTTCAGTTTTCTTTATTTAATAAAGTTTTTGAACTTTCCCACTGACTGTCTGTCCTTGAATACTGGGTCCATCTGTCCTCGGTTTATGACATCTGCTGCTCTCCTTGTCCGGTCTCTTTGCCTGCTCTATTCTGAGCTCCAGAGTACCTCCTTGCTTTAGGTCCGGGTGATCCTCCCCAAAGCAGAAAACAGTTCGGGGTCCTGGTCAGACAGAAGTTAAGTGGGAAGCTGAACTCCCTGAAATAGAAACATTCCTCTGCCTCCATGTTTTGGGTCCTTCTACAAACCTCCACAAACCCCGACAGTTTGTTCCATACATACACCCCAACAAAAGAAAAAACTAACACTACTATACTCCCATGCTCTCACTCTCATGGCATCTTTTTTATTCATGCTTTCTGATTGTGATGAAAATTCCTTCTGTATATTTAGAAGCAGGAGGAATATTCCATTTTTGCTGACATGCCATGTTTGGATTTCTTAAAGGCACACTATGCAACATTTTTCAGTTAATTAATGTGTTCCATAACGTTTTGGATGATTAAATGAGTCATTTCAGGTTGAACAAAGGTATTCTCGGCCGCCCTGGTGGTCTGTGGGGGAAATACCGCATTTGCAATTGCAGGAGCCCTCGGCCCGCACCCACAGGCTCAGAAGTCTCGCGAGAGTTGGTCTTGCTTTACGGCGAGAACTGCTACACGCCCCCAGTTAAAAGCATGCTCGTTGCTAGCACAGTGGCGATCTTTGTGCAGTTATCATGGCGGAACCAGCGTGAAAACAGCGAAAGCCCATGTCGGCGCAGGCAAGAAAGAGGAAAAGGCTCCGGACAGAGAGAGGAGTCGTACACGGGTGAACATCGGGCAAGCTTTTTCCGAATGACGAGAGCTAAAATAAAAAGAAGGCTGCAAGGCTGACGCCAACCTCGCGTTTCTGCTGATGCGATTGTAAGTAACATTGGAATGGTTTCTCTCTCTCTGTGTGCATGTTCATACTTTCACTGTGTTAGTCATTCGTTGCGTTCGCCTGTCTGCTAAGCTCAAAACAGCCGCGCCTGGCTTGACGGAGAAACCAGGAGAACAGCTGAGCATATTTACGACAGTGCACTTTTACTTTCGCCCTCTGGGGGGAGCCTCGCTGGAAAATCAACACAGGTTGCATAGTATACCTTTAATTTTTGGAAAAGAGGTGCATTTGTGTCATATCTCAAAAGTTTGGTAGTTTTTCCAAATTAATTAAGATACACTTCATGGTCAATTAAGCCACTCAAGCGCTATAAAACATTATGCTACCTCATTGTCAGTGGCAAAGATTTCAAGACCTTTGAAGTCATCGGTGGGTTTGTAAAGTAAAGCCACACTGTTGTCCGTGATGATGGTTGTAGTTTCTGTCACCTCCGTTTCATCCAAAGTTTCTTGTAGGATTTCGAGTGTTCTTGTGAAGAAACAAAAGAGAATGAGACAAAGTGGATCAGCATCCTTTCATTATGACACAGGTCATTGATCTAATATAAATTAGAACATTTACCTAACAGCGTCTTCTTCCGGAACATTTTGCAAAATGTTGCTGAGTGTTTCCATGCAACATTTTTCATGATCAGCGTTGTTTGTTTCTGTCGATTTAATCAATGCGTGATTCTCATGTGAAATGAAAAAGAGAAAAATAAATGCCTTGTAGTACCAGTTAGGGTTAAAACATACCTGGATGACGACTCCTGCTTTCACAGTTGAAATAGTCCAGTTTTTCACAGCAACCCAGAGATCCAGCAGGATTTTCTTCTTGTTCATTACTTGTTTTCACAGTTTGACGCAACATAAAATACATGATCACAATCCACTGAGTCCCACTCTTCATCCTATAAATCAAACAGTAAATCCAGTTACAAAGTAGCCTTCTGTTCTGTAAGAGTCATTAATTAGTAAGAAAAAGTATTCCAGGATGTGTGTGGCTGCTGGGAGTCGCACTGGGCAGAAGTCTTAGGTCGGCTGGGGTGTGCCATCCACCTTGGCGTGGGTGTTGGCCTCGCTCTGGTTGTTTCCTGTTCTGGCTGTGGCGGGGCCTTATTTGGGCTGGGGTTTGGGTTGGAAGTTGTACCCGGGCTGGGGGGTCATCAGGGCAGGGCGCCCTCTGGTAAGATTATGTCCCGCTGAGCGGTGGGCTCTCTGCACGGGGGGAGGGGGCACTGTTCTATATCTGCTCTACTCCCCGTACCTAGCCTCTCCTTTTCCGGGGACTTAGCCTCGTGAGACCATCCTGATCTCACGAGCTTTCAAGGTTTCACTCGCTAATCAGTCTGGAGACTCTCCGTTGAAGAAAATTTGGAGCCATTCACCAAACGAACGTCCAATCAGCGTTGGCTTTGAGGCGGGTTGAGGTGTGACACAACGAGAAGCGCGACAGTTCAGTCTAAAGAACATGGCGGCTTCAGCCGATGAAACTAGCGTTAGCGTGGCTATCAAGCAAGTTTTATCGGAATTACAGAGTATTTCTTCCCTGAAAGAAGAGCTAAACACTGCTCTGGAGGCTTTTCTCAGAGGAAAAGATGTTTTTGCTCTTCTCCCGACTGGTTTCAGCAAGAGTTTGATCTATCAATTGGCTCCTCTTAGTCGTCGCTCTGTTAGTACGTCATATGCTTCATTTATCTGATTGGTTTATTTGGCCCGTCTATCACCAACATAGGCCAATCAGCTAACCAGTATTGTCGCCCCTTCCCAAAATTACTTCTACGTAAGGTTTTCCAGATGGATATGCGGAGCAAATCCATCTGGCGGAGTCAGGTTACTGGGGACTGCCCCTCCCTTTTTCAGGTGGGGGAGGGGCATTGAACCTGCAGTTGGGGGTTGGGGAGTGGTGGTGGGGGGCTGGGTTGTGGTTTACCCCCGATGTTTGGCGCCCTGCTTTCCTGGTAGAGGGTTGAGAACAGGGTGCTTCTCAGGGTCAGTGGGGGAAGCTGGTTCCCTTGGAGAACCATAATTCCCAGTTTTTTGCATCCCCTCACCTGATCTATCACTCCACCACACAGTTAGGATATTGGGGAGGAGATCATCACCTTTTTCAATTGTAAAACCTTCCTGGATGGGAAGTGAAACATCTTCAAACTGGGAAACCAAGTTCAGTGGATTATTTTTTAACTTTTTTGGAATGAGTTATGGTGGAGTACCTTGGCATAGAGAAGTAAGTTGGGATATGTATATACATTTTTTATCCAAAGAGTTCATAAACCATCTTAGATTTAAATGATCTTCCACAACATCTTTGTTTTTCCCACGTATATTTACTGTCTAGATCTTTCTACCTACTTTGGCTCTCAGAGGCCCTTGGATATACACTCACCGGCCACTTTATAAGGTACACCTGTCCAACTGCTCGTTAACACTTAATTTCTAAGCAGCCAATCACATGGCGGCAACTCAGTGCATTTAGGCATGTAGACATGGTCAAGACCATCTCCTGCAGTTCAAAGCGAGCATCAGTATGGGGAAGAAAGGTGATTTGAGTGACTTTGAACGTGGCATGGTTGTTGGTGCCAGAAGGGCTGGTCTGAGTATTTCAGAAACTGCTGATCTACTGGGATTTTCACGCACAACCATCTCTAGGGTTTACAGAGAATGGTCCGAAAAAGAAAAAACATCCAGTGAGCGGCAGTTCTGTGGGCGGAAATGCCTTGTTGATGCCAGAGGTCAGAGGAGAATGGCCAGCAGCAGAAGACCACACCGGGTGCCACTCCTTTCAGCTAAGAACAGGAAACTGAGGCTACAATTTGCACAAGCTCATGGAAATTGGACAATAGAAGATTGGAAAAACGTTGCCTGGTCTGATGAGTCTCGATTTCTGCTGCGACATTCGGATGGTAGGGTCAGAATTTGGCGTCTACAACATGAAAGCATGGATCCATCCTGCCTTGTATCAACGGTTCAGGCTGGTGGTGGTGGTGTCATGGTGTGAGGAATATTTTCTTGGCACTCTTTGGGCCCCTTGGTACCAATTGAGCATCGTTGCAACGCCACAGCCTACCTGAGTATTGTTGCTGACCATGTCCATCCCTTTATGACCACAATGTACCCAACTTCTGATGGCTACTTTCAGCAGGATAATGCGCCATGTCATAAAGCTGGAATCGTCTCAGACTGGTTTCTTGAACATGACAATGAGTTCACTGTACTCAAATGGCCTCCACAGTCACCAGATCTCAATCCAATAGAGCATCTTTGGGATGTGGTGGAACGGGAGATTCGCATCATGGATGTGCAGCCGACAAATCTGCGGCAACTGTGTGATGCCATCATGTCAATATGGACCAAACTCCCTGAGGAATGCTTCCAGCACCTTGTTGAATCTATGCCACCAAGAATTGAGGCAGTTCTGAAGGCAAAAGGGGGTCCAACCCGTTACTAGCATGGGGTACCTAATAAAGTGGCCGGTGAGTGTATATTTAATACTTGATACAGTACATTGAAAGAAGGTTTTTAATTCCTGATTATTGTCTTAATTTGGTTTAATTGGAATGCAATTTTATGGAAAAAAAACTATAGGATACAAAAAATATTTTTTTCTGCTCTGAACATAGTTTGGAGACCCAACTTTTATTGTAACTAGATGCACCCAATGGGTTTTCCTTGATATTGATACTGAATAATATTTCATCCACTTTTTTATATACATTAAAGCCCTCTCCTTTGAGGTATTTAAGGAAAAAAAGTTATACTTTTTGACTTACTTTTACAGAAGTTGCCTCTTTGTCTGGGTACTGGGCCAATAGACTTAAGGAATTGAAATTCCAATTTATTAACAAAAACAATAACAAATTATACAGTAAGAGTTGTATTATTATGGATTTAAAATTACATATCTTTGCCTCTTTTTAGGAGGGACTTTTTAGGAGGGCTCCAGTATTTGAAGGCACCGCTGTCAACATGTTAGATTTCCTGAAATTATAGCTGGAACTTCAACACGCTTAAAGAATACAAACTCTTAATTAACACATTAGTGAGATAATACTTTTTAAACCTTTCTGTTTAACTGATTAGCTTTGCTCTTTTCAACGCGCCATTTTATATTAGCCAGACTAATATTAGCATCTGCTGGAAAAACCTATAGAAAAGGAAAGCTTACCTGCGCTTCAGTGGGTAATTCAATCATTTAAGGTGATGTGAAGCAGATAAAAACAACTCGTGTTACAGCAGGAGAAGAACTCATCTTCACTGGAAGCCAGATTTAAATCATAAGTAAATTAGACTCTAGAGAGAATACAGGATGCAAACTAGGAGACGGACATTACACGGGTAACTGATGATGATGTTAGAAATTATTGTTCCAAAGAAAAATCCTTCTTGTGCTCACATTTAAGGGCGGTCCATTTGTTTTGCACAATTATTTCACCTCAAAATGAAGAGCAACTTTGTGTTAAGTGAATTTTATGAATGGTTTTGTGAGTCATTTTGACTTTATAGACTTAGCCCAGTGATTCTGTCTGTGAATGTTGGTTTTTGCATCTTTTTTTCTGAATAATTTCACAATAAAACTGTTTCCATGATTATGCTTTAAATATTTCTCATTGTCTTCCTTAGTAATACTGACTTTCTGGCTGTTTCCAAAAAGGATCTAGATCAGACAGCTCTATTTGACTCACAGATTTGAGGAGCTCTGTTTCTGTCAGAATCTATTTTTAGAATTTATAACAAATGTTTTTAATGGGTTACTGTAAGCCCTCTTAAATATTTGCTCAGATTTCAGAAGTCTGAATAACACTTTTAGTTGGAACCAATGGAACCAAAAGAGCTGCAACTGACTGAGCACTTGGTGGGATACTTCATTTCAAACAGGGATGTGCCTGTGCTGTAAGACTGGATTTGGTTAATTCAAATATTTGTTCATGAAACAGATATTGCATGTGTCTCTGTTATTTTGGTTTCACTGGTAATCACAAAAGCAGACTTCCTATCCAAAGCAGTAACCTGCAATGTTGGTTCAGTTCCAACAAAAAACAGAAAAACAAAGAAAAACTATGGAAGAAGAATTTTAATAAACAGTTGGAATTACCTGCAAATATACTTCATCTGTTGTATAAAGAAGTAAATGCATTCTGAAGGTTACAAGTTCATGTCAGTAAATCCTGCACACATTTATATTGTTATAGTAAAATATAATTCGTGGGAATTGCAGACAATAAGTAGTACAAAGAACAAACAGGCTCTAAATGATCTGAGTTTGTATATAAGGTTTCACTTTGCATTGCATTTCTTATCTCCTCTGTATCACTTCACAATTTTGCAGAGGCAATCAGTTGCTCTCTTCACAAACAATGATTTTATTGATTGGGTTACTTCTGCTCTGCAGGCTGCTTTAGACAGCTCTGTGTTTACACCTTTCAGCTTTCTCTCCCTGATTCTTTCCTGAGAATAGATCACTGGGTTTAAGGTTTAACAGACTCACACATCATCAATGAAAATAATCCTAACATTACCCCCTTTTAAAAAAGGAGGAGTCTATTAATAGAAGGCTGGCTCCTTGGTTTCATTTAGAACAGTGTACTTTGAAGCCAAAATGCTTGGAAAACTGTATTCTACATAACTAAAGAAATCCTACTTAGTCTGGTAAATCTGTTTA